TTAGGGTTAGTAGTTTTAGATATTGAAGTTTTGAATGAGCAAAAAAATCGAAAAAACAAATTTTATCGAGTGCCTTGTATACTCGATGCTCTCATGGGCGCTCTCTTAATTAGGGTCGATAAGTTTAAAACTATGGAATAGAATGACCAAATTCAGTGCACTATCTCGTTCAAAATCTTCACCATAATCAATACTAATGTAAACAAACAATAAAATCATAACACCATATGTCCATAGTTATGTAAATTATAGTGTTTGAAGGAGTATGATGGTTGCGATGCCATTTCGATCAATTATCAAAGCTACAGTAGAAGCTGCTGTACGTATACTGTCTCCGATTGAATTGTGTGAACTAATCTATTTTAGACTATAAATTATTTAGAAATAAATAATTACTATTTCGTGAAGAATAATTGTACTTGTTCAAATAATACAACATCACATGTGATCAATTTTTGTTTCACTCTATGCATGGATAAGACAATCATAGCATCGTATAAAATAGAAATAAATTTAACTGCAGCGGCTGTCATTATTTCATCAGATGGCTCGTGGAAATAATAATTCATCTAAAGACGATATGATTCTTGCATGAAGTTATTTTATATATAGTCAATTGAAATCGTCAATATTTCTGTTTGTACATCGTGATATGATTTGAATAGAAAAAAAATTCCTAAATTATCATGTAATACAGATGCCATTAAAGTCAAAAACTTCCTTTAATAAAAGTATGTGTTTTAATAAAAATTAATATTCAACATATATTAGTTTTTGCAGATAATTTTAGAATGATTTTAACGAGTGAATAAATCAAAGAAATATTACAGTAATGTTAGATATCAATAATTATAAAATCAATTCAATATAAAATTTAATTTTAACAATCACTGGAATAGAAGAACCTATCAATCAATATATGTTAATACAGAAAAAAAACAGATATTTTTTCTTCTTGTTCTCAACGTTATACTCTTTTACTTCATACAAATTCATAAAAATAGTCCTCAAATATTGAATTATTTTTGGATTCAATTAGAATAATTTCCATGAAAATAGATAATTAATATTAATCAATCAAAATTTGTTGTATGCATTTATTTTCTTTGATAAACAAAGAAAAAATTTAACACTATTATTCATTGATGAAAAATAATTCATTTTAGAGAAAAAAAAAGCGAGTCCCGCGAACCGGAGTCGAACCAGTGACCTAAAGATTACAGTTGTTATACATCTACAGTCTTCCGCTCTACCAACTGAGCTATCGCGGGCTTGTTCAACCTTCCAGAAGAATAATTATTGAACCTATACACAAAGTACAAGTATTTTTTCATGACGAAATAAAGAATTTGGTTAACCATCAAATAATGAGTTAAATAATAACAAAAGAAAACCTATGATCCATGACACCTTGATCATTGTGATATTTATTAATTCATTAGTTTCTCATCATGATAGTAAAACTCGATACTGCATAATTTGAACAAATTTAACAAGAACAAATTCTACGAAAGAATTCGATTATTTTTCCTAACTGAAATTCTAATATAACAATATTAAAAAAATCGCTAAAAATAATATTACTGAGTTGATTCAATAGAGTGAATGGCGTATTATTTTATACAAAAATAACAATTATTCAATGATTATATGTTTTCTCTTTATTTTTATTTACATACAAATGACTAATGAATAGGATAGACATGATTAAAATCTAAACAGCTATTGATGCATCATTACTGATAGCAATAAGGATATAAAATAAGTTTTAATAACATCAGAGATAATATCATGATTTTTTTTTATGGCATACTTCACTTGCGGAGGTGTGCTAAAATTATTATCTATTTATTATTTTGTATTTCATTTTTTTCTGTGGTAGCATCAATCGACGATAGAAATGACATTGAACAGTACAAATAGCCTTGGATGTACTAAAGAAGATGAAAATTTTGTGTTAATTATTCTATTAATTGTTGGTGGATGGTCATCAGTTGTTACATGTATATTAGGTTTACTAGGTAATACATTTTCAATAATTGTATTAGCAAATAAACGTATGAAAACATTATCAACTAATGTATATTTAATCGCATTAGCGGCTGTCAATCTGCTATGGCTTATTTTATTTTTTATATTTTATGCACTTCGTTTTACTATCATTATTCCGTATTTCTTTTCGAAAAATCAAGAAAATTTATACAGTATTTATAATGAAACGTTTTATCGGTAAGTTATATACACGCTTTTATTATGATTTTTCCTTATGTATAGTTATAGGTTATCACCATACATCATTCCACTAATGAATACTCTTCAACTATGTATAACTTATTATACAGTAGCTGTTTCTGTTGATCGTTATTTATATGTTTCAATGGGTTTAAATGCTAGTCAATATTGTACCATACGAAACGCTTTACGTATTATATTATTATTGACTTTATTTGCAATTATTTCTATGATACCTAATTGGTTTGAATTTCGTGTTATTACACAAATTGATACTGCAAATCGAACTCATTATACAAAATCATGTAAGTACAAAATTTAAATTTCGTATTATTATTATTATTATTATTTTAATTCAATCAAATTTTACAGATACATTTATTGGCCAAAAGAAAATGTTTCGCGAAATTGTTAATATCTATATTTTTATTCCAATTGTATATGTTATACCATTTGTTATATTAATAATTATAAATATTTTAACAGTTCGTCGACTTGTACAATATCATGATGAACATCGTCGTTTATTATCAACATCAATTCGACAAATGGCTATGTTAAGAGCCAATTTAAACTATTCAAGACGACATCATCATGTAACAATAATGCTTATAGGAGTTGTACTTTTATTTCTTTTATGTCGTTTTCCAATGCTTATTAATCACATTTATGAAGTTCGATATCCAACAATAGGTAATTATATATTAAAAGATAATCTTTATTTCCAATGTCGAATTCAACGTATATTTGATACGTTTGCTAATTTTATGCAAACAATTAATTCTAATGGAAATTTAATTATTTATTTACTTTGTTGTCGACATTTTCGTGAAACATCAAAAGAATTATTGGAAATATTATTAACTTATATGAAAATACAATCAAATGAAAATCTATTATCAACCATGCAACAGCGTTCAAGAGGAAGTACACGTCTAACATATATATGAACAAAAACAAAATTGTTATTTATTATATCTCGCTAAAAGTATTTCGAAAACAAACTGTTTCAGACTTAAAATCAATTTTGTTTTTATTTAATTAAAATAAAAAAATTAATCTCATCTATTCTTTAATGTTGTTTGTTACTTTAATAAAGATAATAAATCAATAGTTGAAAACATTCACTTAATGTTTTGATTGCATATTTTAGTTCATATTCACTATGGACGATTGTCAAATCTCTGTCGATATTTTTCTTTTGAAGTATATGATCATTGATAGTGATTTAACAGAAACAATATTTAAACATATATTCTATTGCATTATACAACCCTTTGGTTTCTAAAAAGTAATGTTTTGTAATCTTGAGAATACTTTAAAAAACTTCTGTTGATGTTCAATTATAGTTTGAACTTTATTATGACTACTAACATTTGTAGTTTTATCCGAGAGAACATAGTGATTAAATGAGATGGAAAGATTCATATTTTTATACCCAGAATATTTGGATTTGATCTTGAATTATGAAATCTTGGCTTGATATGAGTTTGATCTTTATGATTTCATCTAGCATGAAAGGTTGAAAACTTACACAAACTACAAATAGCACAGAAAAGCCTATTTGACTCAAATAGATGCCACTTTTAGTTTTTAAGTGCTATTCAAAAATGGTTGTAGTATGAACAAGACGTCCACAAGAATGGTTAGTGATTGTGTAAAATCAAAATAACATGCGGAGATGAGAAATATACCTTTCCTACTTTTGAAAGTTTGATCATAACTGTCTCCAATGTCATAGAAAACTTCTGATGAACTTTCTGCAATTTTGAACAAATTCGAGCTATATCTTTGTTTGATTTTTAAAGATTTAGGCTACGTTTTTCTCTCATTTTAGATAAACTATTATAATTCCATTTTCTTCATGTTGCGGAAATTTTTTTAGACTACTTTTCCGTTTAATTTTGAATAGTTCAGATAATACTTTTTTCCGATTTTATGTAATGGAACTATTTTATATCTGTAAGTATAAC